TAGTGCGTAAAAACTCGACTACATGGGACCGATGCCAAGTAATTTCCGACTAAAATTGGTTGTATGACTCGCATTTGACAGGGACGGCCATTGACGATGGAAACCAGCTCTTACAGACACAGCGACCTGTCGACTCCAGTTTAATGTTCCTTTTGCTATTTTACTCTTTTAGATCGCTGACAAAATCAGACTTTCTCAGACATTTACATCCTCCATTGATTCGCTTCCTTAAAGTGTTTCAAAATATCTGGTAAAACTGGAATTTATGTTTATAAAAGAAGACATTTGTGAAGATAATTTCCAGTATTTGATCAGTATTCAAAGAGAAACCTAAAGACGAATGCGGGTGAAAGAGGCCAAGGCTACTGGACTGGGTTTCACCCATGATATTGAATGAATTTTAGCACTGGCGCTGGAACCTGGGTGCTAAGTCAAATCGAAACTATTAGGAGGCCCCCGACCCGCCCCCCCCTCCCCTACACACACACACACAATAATTCTTAGGCGGCCAAGCTTCTATCATTACAACATTAGCAACATGGCCGCAGTCCCAACCAATCATCGGCGTTCTCGTTCTACTTATTTGTTTATCCATGTCATATTGTTTGAACTATATTTAATTGCTGTTAACTAAATACCGAGCCTTCATGCGTCTGGGCACATAAGGCTAGACCTCTATGTTATAGACTTATCAGTATTCGGTAGGTAACGTGGTCGACATCTTACTGGCCGCCTTTACTTTCCAGGACGGTGCCTGGCACTCATTCAGTAGCCTGTGGGAGCCTAGGTCATTGTTGGAAAACGTTCGGCTGCTTTCGTAACCGAACCGACGACCTTCATAAAAACAGGCGAGCACCTAGCCGCTACATCATTTCGGCTGCTAATAATAATGTTCTCTACTTCTGCCTTTTTAAACCCCAGTGGAGCATAGGCCCTCAACCAACTTAGGCCAAGTCGTGCTATCCTTCGCTATCGCGTGCAGCTCTCCCCATGACCTCAACTTTTTCACATCTCTCTCTCGCTCTCTTATCCATGTTTTGTGTGTGTCTTCCTTTATTTCTATGACGCTGTGAGTTCCATTGAAAAGACATTCTAGTTATACTGTTCTCAGGTTTACTTAGCGTGTCTCCTATCCAACGCCAGTGTCTTTTCTTCACCTCTTGGCCCATTGTAACTTGTTTAGCACTTTCCCAAAGCTCTATATTAGTGATTTTATCATACCAATTAATTTCCTCTATTCTGCGCAGGCACCAGTTAATAAATGTTTGTGGTTTACTAGTAATTGTCTTAGTTGTTCTTCCTGTTTCCGCTCCATACAACAGTACTGAGTACAGTAATATAGCAGTACAATAAAAATGTAGGAATAATATATTGCGCACTTAAACAGGACTGAGCCACATGTGCACCAGCCCCTGCGATATGGTTAGGAGGCCGGGAACCCAACCCTGAAAGATTTCTTGGTGCTAGCGGGCCTAGACTGCGCAAAATACAAAGAATGGAACAAGATACTGCAAACCCTATGTGCCCTACAATCGACATGGCATGGTGATGGCGATGAAAAGCTATGGCAAAACAGTAAGAGCCCAAAAACACCGACGTGTGCCCAGTTGATAGATCATTCATGGTTGCAGTTAGGCATAAGCTGATTATGATACAGCCAAGGGCCTCACGTCTCCAGGAGCCCCACAAATTCCTGCTTGTACCACAAATTAAAAATAATGTAATATATTTTCAATATATTTTAGTCTTCCCCCCACTTCCCCCAAACATTTTGTAAATTTATTATTACATTTGAGGAAACTATCTCCGACAGACTGTTATTGATTGCAAGTTGATGAGATCTCTGGTCTCATTTAAAACGATACAGGCCCCATGACCTTGTATATCTTAGCACAATCCATCCCCATCTTTCTAGCCTCAGTTGTGTTAGTACTCCCCATCTCCATGTTTCTAGCCTCAGTTGTGTTAGTACTCCCCATCTCCATGTTTCTAGCCTCAGTTGTGTTAGTACTCCCCATCGCCATGTTTCTAGCCTCAGTTCTGTTAGTACTCCCCATCCCTATGTTTCCAGCCTCAGTTGTGTTAGTACTCCCTATCCACATGTTTCTAGCCTCAGTTGTGTTAGTACTCCCCATCGCCATGTTTCTAGCCTCAGTTGTGTTAGTACTCCCCATCGCCATGTTTCCAGCCTCAGTTGTGTTAGTACTCCCCATCGCCATGTTTCTAGCCTCAGTTGTGTTAGTACTCCCCATCCCCATGTTTACAGCCTAAGTTGTGTTAGTACTCCCCATCCCCAAGTTTCTAGCCTCAGTTGTGTTAGTACTCCCCATCCCCAAGTTTCTAGCCTCAGTTGTGTTAGTACTCCCCATCCCCATGTTTCTAGCCTCAGTTGTGTTAGTACTCCCTATAGCCGTGTTTCCAGCCTCAGTTGTGTAAGTACTCCCTATCGCCATGTTTCCAGCCTCAGTTGTGTAAGTACTCCCTATCGCCATGTTTCCAGCCTCAGTTGTGTTAGTACTCAACTGATCGTGAATCAGGTCTGAGTTCTTGTCAGGCCCATGCCTGTGCTTAATCTTCGGATTATTTATCTATATGACCCCCACCCCCCCCCACCCCCCCCCCTTTTCCCCTTTTTTTTCCCAACCTTTTTTTCTGTTTAGAAAAATAATTTGGCCGAATTGTTTCGTGTATATTTCTCTTTGTATAATTAAATCAAATAAAATGGTCCCTCTTTCAAACTTCCAGACGTGTTTGAAATATAAACAATTAAAGAAACTTTTTTTTCTACGCTTTCAGAAGAACTAGGCAAATTGGACTAGACTTATATTTGACAGGCAGGCCAATCAGGACACGATTGGTGATGGGTTGATCAACATCACGCCCACATTCTCTTCATTTATTTGCAACAACAACAAAAAACCTTCACTGTTAGGCTGAGTTGAGTTGTCGAGAATTGACATCACAGCACTCCGGGTATTCCCATGCACGCTCTGACCTCATCTTCAGCAGCCAGCACCCAGTTCCAATACTGATGGTACCGGTCACAATCAGGTTCAAAGTCCCTCTTGCCTTTCCTCTGGGTGTAGTCAGCCGGCCACTGTCTACATGCAATGTTTCCGATCAGTTGATATTTGTCTTGTATATTTTTGGAAGACTGCTTGTTCACGTTTCTGTCACCGCCCCAATGACATCCTTGACGTAATCTTCAGAGAACATATCCAGGTACAGTTCAAATAAAAGCATTTAAAAAATGTTGTCAATCACTTAGAACAGATTAACGTTTAGAGAACAGATTGTTTGACTGAAATGTCTGTCAAAAATTTAGAACAGATTAACGTTTAGACAAAAAAAAAAAAAAAACGTGTGATTGAAACGTGTGTCAATCAGTTAGAATAGATTAAAGTTTAAACAATAGACCGTATGATTAAAACGTCTGTCAATAATTTAGAATGGATTAAAGTTTAAACAATAGACCGTATGATTAAAACATCTGTAAATAATTTAGAATGGATTAAAGTTTAGAGGATAGACTGTGTAATTGAAACGTGTGAAAATCATTTAGAATGAAATAAAGTTAAGGAAATAGATATTGTGAACCTCATCCCTGTATTGAAACTGTTATCAATCACAGAGAAGAAATGAATCACTTGAAAGCTGTTGCCTTGTTTACCTGGTTTGTCCCCAATATTTCAACATCCTTGTCTGCAGTCCGGAAAGCCCTTGCATTGATCCACCTCTGAGATGTCGGGAAAGAATAAGAACACATAAAACATGGACAAGCACACGTTGAGAACTTCTTGTGCGTCTGCAATGTCAATCAACAGTGTAATCATTATTATTCTTCTTTTAGTTCATCGTTTCGGAACGTTTTTATTTCAACAACCGCGGTACAGTTTTTAAACTTTCCAAACGAAAACATGGTTAGCAGTGCCAGATAAAAACGCCAGATGGAGTTGCTGCAACAGTTAAGTTGTTGTGACGTGAATGTTTACACCTGGAGAAGGCCAAGGGGCTGGGTTCTTATGTAGCCATACACGATTACCTGGAAGTTTTTGGGCCGCGAGCATTTGTTGTCAGGGAACGGGAGCATAGGCGAGTGGTTCAGCAGAGTTGTTCTGGCTGCGATACAAGAGTGAGTCAACGGCTTTTGATTTGTTATGAGGATCTGTGGGGGTGGCGAGGAGGGGGGGGGGTAAAAGTGGTTCAGCCGGGAGGGGGGGGGCCGCAAGAGAGAGAGAGAGAGAGAGAGAGAGAGAGAGAGAGAGAGAGAGAGAGAGAGAGAGATTAGGTAAATACCTGGATGTTGTAGCAGCATGGATAGGGCGGAACAAGAGCACTGTCATGATTCGTAATTCGGGTGATCGAGTGAGATAGCTAACCATAATCTCGTACACTTATCATCATGGTAGATGATGATGATGATGAGGGTCATGTTGATGATGATTATAATGACCATGATGATGATGAGGGTCATGTTGATGATGATTATAATGACCATAATGATGATGAGGGTCATGTTGATGATGATTATAATGACCATGATGATGGGGGTGGATGACGATAATGATAGTGGTGATGTTGTGATGATGACGATGATGATGACGATGATGATCAAAATGATGATGATGGTCGTAGTCATTGTGATGATGAATAGTTACTGTAGAGTTTCTAGTTAGGACTTTGGTGTTCTAACAGCAAATATTGCCCAACACAGAGGGTGACGGACATTTGACGCAGACCAGGAGACATCCAGTGACCGCAGGGGACCCCAGGACCACGAGACATCCAGCTTGTGTCGCTGTCAGAGACATCCAGTGTATCACTACAAGACATCCAGCTTGGTCCGTGTGACTACAAGACACCAGCTTGTGTCCGTGTGACTACGAGACACCCAGCTTGTGTCCGTGTGACCACGAGTCATCCAGCTTGTGTGCGTGTGACCACGAGTCATCCAGCTTGTGTCCGTGTGACCACGAGTCATCCAGCTTGTGTCCGTGTCACTACAAGACATCCAGCTTGTGTCCGTGTCCACGTGCTTGACTACAAGAGACACCATGTGACCACGAGTCCCAGCTTGTGTCCGTGTCACTACAAGACACCCAGCTTGTGTCCGTGTGACTAAAAGACACCCAGCTTGTGTCCGTGTGACTACGAGACACCCAGCTTGTGTCCGTGTGACTACGAGACACCCAGCTTGTGTCCGTGTGACCAGTGGACACCCAGTTTGTGTCCGTGTGACCAGGGGACACCCAGTTTGTGTCCGTGTGACCACGAGACATCCAGCTTGTGTCCCTGTGACCACGAGACATCCAGCTTGTGTCCGTATCACTACAAGACATCCAGCTTGTGTCCGTGTGACTACAAGACACCCAGCTTGTGTCCGTGTGACTACGAGACACCCAGCTTGTGTCCGTGTGACCACGAGTCATCCAGCTTGTGTGCGTGTGACCACGAGTCATCCAGCTTGTGTCCGTGTGACCACGAGTCATCCAGCTTGTGTCCGTGTCACTACAAGACATCCAGCTTGTGTCCGTGTGACCACGAGTCATCCAGCTTGTGTCCGTGTCACTACAAGACATCCAGCTTGTGTCCGTGTGACCACGAGTCATCCAGCTTGTGTCCGTGTCACTACAAGACACCCAGCTTGTGTCCGTGTGACTAAAAGACACCCAGCTTGTGTCCGTGTGACTACGAGACACCCAGCTTGTGTCCGTGTGACCACGAGACATCCAGCTTGTGTCCGTGTGACTACGAGACACCCAGCTTGTGTCCGTGTGACCACGAGACATCCAGCTTGTGTCCGTGTGACTACGAGACACCCAGCTTGTGTCCGTGTGACTACGAGACACCCAGCTTGTGTCCGTGTGACCACGATACATCCAGCTTGTGTCCGGGTGACCACGATACATCCAGCTTGTGTCCGGGTGACCACGATACACCCAGCTTGTGTCCGTGTGACCACGACACATTATCAAGAGCTGTCGTTGTAGCATTCGCGCAAGCAGCAGCAGTAGCAGCAGTAGCAGGAGAAAAAAAAAAGAAGAAGAACAAGAAGAACAAGAACATGAAGAAGAAGAAGAAGAAGAAGAAGAAGAAATAGCAGCAGCAGCAACAGAAAAAAGAAAGAAGGAAGAAGGAGGAGAGATCAAGGTAGAAGGAAAATGGAAGAAGGGATCGACTGACAAACATTAAAGAAATTTAAACTTTGGAGAAATATAAAGCGAAGGAAGAATGTATCAACTATTTGAAACATGTATTGTTTCGTCTTGAAACATTTTCACATAATCAGTATGGTGAGATTGTTTATTTTAACCATGTCACCAACGAGTATAACGCCAGCATGAGTTAGTCTCCCACCAGTTTCTGCCTAACTGCATCACGAGGCATTTAGAGGAAAAGATAAACTGGTCGCTAAATATGGAGACTGAGCACTTAGGAGAATTTCCTGAGTGTTGTGGGGTCGGTTTTAAACTCATTTAAACTCTACTCAACTTATTATCTAAGGTTATTTTCTTGCAGTGATAACTCTGTAGATTTGTTACATTGTTGTGTGTTGATCTTTATGAAGGTGAGACACTGAAGTGCTTTTTCAATTTGTTGCTCATAGATATCAAAGCTATATTTTTTCGTTGTCGGTAATGGCACAAACACAAGATTGTAGCATTCATCTGACTGTCATATCTCTCGCTCTCTCCTCGGGTAATGTAGGAATGAACAAGATAAAACAAATTAACTTATCTTTAAAATTGAAATGTACGTTCAAGCACATTTCACACTCAAATGTTACAGGGTTACCAGGGTAGTCGCAAGTTAACCACCATGTCATTCTGTCTACACAATACTGGACACCAATGGCCGATGGCTGCAGCTTTTTCAAATTGCAACAAAGCGTTGACGGTGCACATAAGTTGTTCTTGCAACTGTGTACACTCAGTACACCCGAGGAACGGCGGACCGGCAGAAACACGTCGCGGACCGCTTACCCCTCGACAGAAACAAAAACATTTGGTGATCATATTTTATTCATATACATGTAATGTTATCAATTTAAATTTTAGCTTATGCTAAGAAATATTTTGTAATGTGCGTGAAGCGTTGTTTCTAAGAGGCGAGTCACAGCAATAACGTCAGTTCGATTTACCAGTTTTTACTGTTGCCACAACATGTTTCTGTAGCATGTTTGATGGACGACTGGTGGTCCGCCGACTAACTGACTTTTTCACCCCACCAGGACATCACACTGAGCGATAAACACCCAGTGACACAAAGTGCCACCATTCGGACTGTGAAATTGAGTGCGTTAGTAATTGTAAATAATCCTTATATTATTTTTGAGTTTTATTATAAATTAAATAATAAATTTTAAAAACCGATAAAACAAAAAGCCAAGGACACATCCTGTTTCCATGAGCAGTTTATGTATCTACAGTCAAACATCTATTTAACATGAGTCACCGACATTCATTGTAGATAGGGAACCCATGTTGATCATGATGTGTCTTTTTGTTTCACTTGTTGCAGAATCTATTGTTCTTGTCTTTTTCATCATACATTGTTCAGCTGGGTGGGGGGGGGGGTTGCCATTAGTTCGAGGGGGGGGGGGGGGAGAGGGGTTGCCATATACTTAAAGAGGGGGGGGTTTGCCATATACTTATGGGGGTGGTGCCATTCGTTCGGGGGGGGGGGGGTCTTGCCATATACATAAAGGGGGGGGGATGTTGCCATTAGTTCGGGGGGGGGGGGGGGGGGTCTTGCCATATACACAAGGGGGGTGTTGCCATTCGTTTGAGGGGGGGGGGGGTGGGTCTTGCCATATACATAAAGGGGGTGGGATGTTGCCATTTTGCGGGGAAGGGGGGGGGGTGGGTCTTGCCATATACACAAAGGGGGTGTTGCCATTCGTTTGAGGGGGGGGGGGGGGGGGGAGGGGGTCTTGCCATATACACAAAGGGGTGGGATGTTGCCATTAGTTCGAGGGGGGGGGGTCATCCCATATACATAAAGGGGGTGTTGCCATTTGTTTGAGGGGGGGGGGGGGGGTGGGGCGTCATGCATATACTCAAGAGGAGTGCTGCCTGGAAACAAGATTGCAGACGTATAAGACATGTGGATAATGTAAAGCTGTTGTTGTAGGTGGCTTACAGTGGTGCAGTCAGTATCATACAGACGCCTAGACGTCGCAGATATGTTCTGACATCCATTTAGATCGGTTTTGGGGAGAACAGGCGTCACAAACAACAGTCTCAATGGCGAATCTTCGACTGTTTAGATGGCGAGGACATATTCGGAGGAGGCGGAGGGGGGGGGGGTGGTGGGGAGGGGGTAGAGGCCCTATGGGTATTCTTTGAGGTGATCTGCAGTGAGTAGAAGAGCTGGGCACAATGGGCAGAGGGCATTTACTCTTGAACTTCCAGGAGATTTAAGCGGCCGACGTCCAACAAAGATGGTGACGACCACGAGTCAAGTATCTGTGGATGATTGCAGTCATGTCGGCTCGTGCTGTACAATACACGATAGCTGAGGGATGTACAAACACGTGGACACACTTAAACCTAGACAGACACACAGAGAGTGAGAGAGAGTTAGACCCAGAGATACAGACAGAAGTAGAAAATTAGATCCAGAGAGAGAGAGAGAGAGAGAGAGAGAGAGAGAGAGAGAGAGAGAGAGAGAGAGAGAGAGAGAGAGAGAGAATTATACCTGCAGAGACAGACAGATATACAGATGGAGAGAATCAGTTCTAAAGACATAGATAACCTGATAGGAACAATTCGAGTGGTAAAAGACAGAGACGGGCAGATAGACAGAATATGACCCGAAGAGACATACACAGAAAGGTTGAGAGAATAAAACACGAATGATTCCTCTTCCAAGCAGACACTTCAGTCATCACCAACGCCATCACCCCTCCGCCATCGTCTCCTCAGTTAACCCCGCCACAGACGTGCCGCCGACAGATTGTTCATCCCTACTAAATATTTGCCTGAGGTAACCTTTCCTCTTTCCCACTGCCAATCTCTCGTCTACAGCGCCTGTATGACATCCACATGTTTCCTGGTGGCCCCAGCGCCAGCTATCTGTCTGCATCTGCCTTTGTTTCCATTCCTCTTGTGCCCGGTTATATTTCTGTTGTTTATCTCACCTGTTATCGGAGCTTTGTTCTCCACTTTGTTATTTTTCTGGTTGTGTATCCAAGGATGTGCTCTAACCAGGGATTCCCAAACTGTTGTTCAGCCACGTCCCTCAGGGGTGATGGAAGGAAAGGGGAGTGATATATCCGTTGCCTCCAACAGAGCGTGTAGAAGGCGACTTTCAAGGGTTGTTTCCTTCCAAGTAGGAGTGCATCTGCCCTGAGACGCGAGGAACCAAGAGTCCTTATAAAATTATCCAGATCCGTCAATTCTCCGTGGGAATTTACACAGTCAGTGAACGGTAAGTGTAGGAACCATCAGCAGTAAACCCCAATTAAGTGGGCGCTAAGGAGGGAAGGGGAGAGGCTCGAACAACATCAAGCCAGTCTATCAGAGTTAGTTTTCCAGAGAATATTACAACCAACCAGTCTAATAGCTAGCCATTGGGAATCCCAGTGGTATCGCCCGCCATCATTAACGGGCCACTAGCCCCAGTTTGAGAATCCCTGCTCTAGATTACTGAAGAAAGAAACAAGTGTGACAGAAGAATGAAAGCAGAATCTTGACAAGAGAAGGAAGCAAAGATTGAATGTAACGGTAATTATTTCCATAGGTTCAATTGTTTTCCCTCGTCTGCGCTGACACCAGGAGCCACTTGTCGATTCTGGGCATCACGCAAGGGAAGACAACTTCTAGACACAGATACAGGGACGATAACCGTCTATGTAAGTAAATATTGAAAACAGTAACTGATAAATTCCCCTTTTGAGCGAGGAGGGGTGGACAAGAAGAGATATTACCCCCCCCCCCCCCCCCCCCCCCCCCCCCCCCCACCCCCCCCCCCCCATAAAAAAAAAAAAACCAACAAAAACAGCAACAATCAACAACAACAAAAGATCGTTTGCTATCATTTACAAAGGACTGCAAAACCAATTAGTACTTTTTGTGATTTTTAAGGTTGGACCATGTGTTGCCTATCACTCCCCTACCTGTAGCTCTTGGGCCATGTGTTGCCCATCACTCCCCTACCTGTAGCTCTTGGGCCATGTGTTGCCCATCACTCCCCTACCTGTAGCTCTTGGGCCGTGTGTTGCCTATCACTCCCCTACCTGTAGCTCTTGGGCTATGTGTTGCCCATCACTCCCCTACCTGTAGCTCTTGGGCTATGTGTTGCCTATCACTCCCCTACCTGTAGCTCTTGGGCCATGTGTTGCCTATCACTCCCCTACGTGTATCTCTTGGGCCATGTTTTGCCTATCACTCCCCCTACCTGTATCTCTTGGGCCATGTGTTGCCTATCACTCCCCCTACCTGTAGCTCTTGGGCCGTGTGTTGCCTATCACTCCCCTACCTGTATCTCTTGTGCCATTTGTTGCCTATCACTCCCCTACCTGTTGCTCTTGGGTCGTGGGTTGCCTATCACTCCCCTACCTGTAGCTCTTGGGCCATGTGTTGCTATCACTCCCCTACCTGTATCTCTTGGGCCATGTGGTGCCTATCACTCCCCTACCTGTAGCTCTTGGGCCATGTGTTGCCTATCACTCCCCTACCTGTAGCTCTTGGGCCATGTGTTGCCTATCACTCCCCTATCTGTAGCTCTTAGGACGTGTCACCTATCACTCCCCTACCTGTATCTCTTGGGCCATGTGTTGCCTATCACTCCCCTACCTGTAGCTCTTGGGACGTGTCACCTATCACTCCCCTACCTGTAGCTCTTGGGCCGTGGGTTGCCTATCACTCCCCCTTCCTGTAACTCTTGAGCCATGTGTCACCTATCA